AGGGAAAGATATATATCAAAAGAGTTGTCACAGTGTCAGTATCACTTAAGACATAGCTTGTTTTCTGAGTGGTTTGCATCCCACTGCTCTAGTAATATGTTGAGCTAAGAAATAATTTTAAAATTGGTTAGACCTGTGAATAGCATTATGACTTTTTGGTTTTGTGACAGAGCTAATATTTTGTTCTCAAATGAGGGAAATGATACAGGAAAAAAAGTTTGCATTGAAGTTCAAGTAGTTTTTGTTGTATTCAAATCCCTTTTTTATTTAAAAAAAAAATCTACATCCAAATGACTGCTCAGGAAACAGCTGGAGTGAGAATGATTTGGAAATTTTTGACATTTTGAGTAAACAAGGTGATAGGAAACCAGATGCTACCCCAGTCATAAAGCAGGCATAAACCAGAGCTGCTGTTGAGAAGTAATGCAAATTCCTGTCACAAAACCCCAAAGATGTAGCAGTATTTCGAGTGACTTGTATGCTAAATGACTATCTCACCTTCCTTCACTCTGTCTTGGACTGTAAACTCTGTTACTTTTTGTGTCTGTTGTTGCTTTAAGCCCTTCCTCAGGGGACTTTCAACTTAAGCATGACAAACATCTCTCTTTCTGATGGGAAAGGAATGGAAGCAACTTTCTGAACAAGGGTGTTGTGCAACTCGTGTCTTCTGTTTAGGACATGTTGGAGTAACTTTTCAGATTAGTGTTATCTTTAGTACTTAAGCTCCCTCACTTACTGCCTTTTTAAAAACCTTTTAAAAATCTTCTTCTCTGAAGTAAAAGACCTCTGAATACATGTTCAACGTTAAAATGTTGATGCTCACACTCCTTGAGATATACCAATAAAATGGCTTGAAGAGCTTTCATGACATGCTTAGCAATCTTCAAGCTGAAAACTCTGCTGCTAAAAAGTATGAGGGTTTATGTTTTGGGAACAAAAAAAAATTATATGTAGAGAAACAGAAAACATGCAAGCTATGAAATTGATCGAGTATATGTGATAGATTGATAAGTTTGTATGAAAATGCACTCACTGAAACACTGCAAAGAAGAGTAAGTATTCTGTCAGCTACATGAGTATTAACTGTGGAAATGGAAGTTGTTTTTCCTCTGCCAGCTGGTTTGCTGTTATTCATGGACATTTAAAGAAAAAGAAAAAAAACAAAGGCACGAAAGCATGCTGTAAACTCTACTTACATAACCCAGTTCTACATGTTTTTCTTCCAGTAGCTGTCCAACCTTGAAAAATGAGTATCAGAATAGAAGCCATAGATGTTCCTTCCTTCAAATCTGAATTAAATGTGCAGTCTAGCCCTTCAGTGTAACTTTCATAATACTGGCTTAATTTTCTTGGTTTTGATTAGGTGAAATGTACTTTAGTCCTTACTGACACCTATGTAGTAAGTAAATTAATGTTTAGAATTCAGTCCTAATCAGCTCTGTTTGCTTAAGGAATACAAAATTCTGAATCACATAAAGTGACTAGGTTTATTAACATGTGATTCTCTTACACAGGACACTGGAAAGATATGGATGTATTTCTCTCCACCCTCTGATTATTTATTCACTAAACTTTTCCATGCACCAAGATAAAAATGAACAATAATGTGACTGGTTTTCTCCTAATTTTTAATTATAAAACAGCAGAGACTGTGAGATCGGAGACTGCTTATCTAGTTCCTTTTTCTACTTTTATCCTTTTAATTGAAATGAAGTGTGGGGCTTCTTGTTTGTTGTATTTTTCCTAGCCACAACTTTATCAATGAAGTTTTATGGATAAAGTATATGGAAGCTCTACTCCTTCCCCTCTGTGCTGGTAGTCTGCTATGTATAGTTAGGAAAATATTAAACATTTTTCTGTGTACTCTTGTATCTTTATCTGTTCTGTAAAGGTGGAAGTCAATCAGGGAAGCCATTAAAAATTATACTAAGTGTGCATCCTGAGGGAGGCTCAGCATTTTAGGCCATTTGAACTAAAAGTGTAGAATGGAATAATGCAAAGGAGTTTTCCTGTCATGCTTCTGTATGTCTTCAAAGTGTAAATCTAGATTCACTGGGGGGGGAAAAAAAACCAAACACAAACAGTTCCATTTTCTGCAGGAGTTCTCCAAAACTAGAGGAAAATGTGATTATACAGTAGTTTGGACAGAGCAGACTGAGGGAATGTGTATGGTCTGTCACTAGACAAGGAATTGCAGGCATCACACAGGCAGGAAGATGCAAATCTTTAGCAGGTTTCATTATGTTTGGGAGCTGGTAAGTTAGAGTAATTTATCAGTGTTTTGGGGAGGGAGGGAATGTGACATCAGCCTGTTTAAGTCTGTGCTCATAGGGGTTTTCCCTTTTTTATTTTTTTGGGACAGGAAAAGGAAAAAGAAAAAAACACCAGGCCTTTTAACAAATTGAGAATGTATATGTCCTAAGTTGTGAAATACAAAGTTAAAATGATACTGTGATATTTGGCTGTTTGTGCTTACATGAAGTCTTTCATGTTGAGCGTGTTGTGATCTGTAAAACAGGCAGAAAATCAAGTTATTAAATGCTGAATAATAAATGCACAAGTTTGTGATTTTTGAGAAGCTTTTCTTTTCAGCCTATGTTCATTCAGATCAATATATGGTAGTGATATGATAGTTCAGTTTTCTTTTGGAACTCATTATTGCACTGATCTTCTGGAAACAAATTAATAAAAAGTCAGATTTAAAATTTAAAAATTAGTGTATCTGTTCAGATTAGTAATAGCTGCAAACACCGAGTAATTTTATGGAATTTGGTGCAGTGCTGCCCTGGGAGTGTAAAGGGTCCATTTTAATATTTGTAACCACTTTACTGCGTTGATTAATTAACCTTGGATTGGACCAAACCATCTCCACGTGTAAGTCAACATCGTGCTCAGCAAAAACATTGTGTGCAGGCTGGACTGTTACACGGGACTAATGGTATTGCTTCTAAAGCTTCTATTTTTTGGTATAGCCTCTTTTCCCCCATGTGTAGAAACATTTTTAAGGAGCAAAGTACAAAACAGATTAACAGATATACTTCCACAAAGCTGATGTTTGCAGTTTACAAAAAATACCTGCTGAAGGTGTGGGAGAGTGCTGTTACAAAACATCCTGCACCTTAGTATTTGGCTTGACTTGGTTTGTTCTGAAACTTCTGTTTTCAGTGATGCATCTTTTCTGCCTAGTTAAGGGGAAGCAGCCATATGTTGCTGGTCTACTTCAAGGATATATTTTACTAACTGTAAGGTTAAATAATAGCATGTATGTTCTTTTGATCTCTGGGGATAGCTTATGATGATAAATTACATCTTTCCATACGTGCTGTTTCATGCACCCCTAGTACCTGTTAGCTTCCCACTCACGGAATGAATGCCTGAGCTGTCTGCAAAGAGTCCATGCCACTTCAGAGGAGATAGGAAAGCAAATACCCACCACATGTCTTACTGCATTAGTCCACCTTTGCTGGAGATGTGAAGCAGTTAACCTTTCTAAATGCTGTAAAGCTATTATTAACCGTTATTAGCTGTTATTTGAGTGAAATGTATATTCCCTTGTTCTTCTAGCTTCATATTCTTGTCAAAGATCATAAAAAAGAAAATACTAAGTTCATGCCATTGTTGCCAGCACCCTGAGCACTTTAATGTGAAGATAACTGATAGTGTCATCTTTACTGGGTTACTTGTGGGCCAAGTTCTGATCTGGCTCACTTGTCAAGATGGCAATGCTGGAGCAAATGCTAAAGCACAACTTTCTCTATGCAATTGTCTGCAAGAAGGCTGGAGTTGCTTTTCAGTTTTGATTCCTAAGTCCCATTCATCTGCCTTACTTTTTCTTTTATTTGGAATATATGAGACCATTTGAGCAGACAGGTGAAGCATCAGGTTCTCTGTCAGTAATGTTTCCCCTCTATCTGGCTGTAGAGGTCACCAGTACCTGAGCAAAAGTTATCCCTTGTGTGTCAGTAAAGTAAAAATCTTCAGCATTCTGATCTCCTGAAAGTGCTTTAAAAAAAAGAAATAAAAATGTCAGGGCCTGAGAGTCCCTGGCTTAACTAATAGGTGTTGAAAGCAAAATATCATTCCTCAATGTTTCCTCTCTTGACATTAATACTGCCTATATTTGAAGTTTCATTTGAAACTGCAGTGTATTTTTTTCTTCTTTTATTCCTTTGTACTAGGATTATTCCAGTGATGATACTAAACTAGAATACAATGTAGATGCAGCCAATGGTATTGTTATGGAAGGTTATCTATTTAAGAGAGCCAGCAATGCCTTCAAGACCTGGAACAGGTAATTATTCATAACCTCTATTTGCTACTTTATTAAGATACTGCTTATTAAGCTTAATTCTGGTCTGACTTACAACCTATGCAACTCATGGATTCCACAGTTTTGAATGAACTCTTGGACAACTCTGTTAAGTAACATTTCCTTATTTTGTCCTGGTTGTTTGTATGACTTTTTCTTAGGGTGTATCTTAGTCTGGAGAACTCCCGTGTATAGAAAGCTGTGCTGTGTGCAGTCTGGCTCTGTAATCTCATTTTAGCCTTACTTTGGGGTCGGAATGGAGCTATCCTTACCGTTATATCCAGTGAGTGATGTGAACGCATATGTTGGGAAAATCAGTGTTAGAGGACAAAGTAGAATGGAAATTGTATAGCCAGTGGAAACAAGGAGACACAGCAAAGGACTCCAGTACTCAAGGATTCAAGTTATTTTTCCTGAGATATAAGCATGTAATTGTTAGCCTTTACAATTCCTGTCCTGAGCGGTGACTTCTGCTTAGTAGTTTTGATGGGAATTCAAAATAGATATTCTTTAACAATGTGTATTTGACTATTGTTTAAATAATTTCCTTCCCAAACAGAGTGGGTTTTTTTTTTACATTTCCAAAGGTGTTTGTTTTTTTCAAGGATGTATCATATATGCTGGAACATTTACAGTATAGCTGGGTACAGTTCTTGAATTTTATAGTTAATATGTTGTCACAGAGCTTTTTTTACTGTCTTATGCTTTGCAATTTTTGCAGCAGTGCTTCTGTTAAACTACTTGCTGTGTTTCAAAGGCCAGAATGTGTATTTGGATATGTGATCCCTTCCAATCATAATTATTTGACACACATCAGTATGGTTTTAGCTAACATTAAAAGCATGACACTGGCTTAAGAAACAGACAGTGTTTGAGCAGGTTAGAAAGTAAACCATCAGAGCTCTTATCAGTTTAATGTTGCTGTGTTCAGAAAGTGCTGGAAAATCTTCTCTCTTTTCATTGTGACTAAATGGATGGTGTATAATGTACATGAGTATTGCAGATAATATACTTTAGTGGAATTAAAATAATATCTTTATGTTGGAAAGTCTTACAGTAACAGGTACGGAGACCTGTTTTTTTTGAATGCCTATCTGTTTGTAAACATTACATCTTATTGTATACATTTATTATTGTGGAACAGTAGGTGCAGAGCTGGTTCCTGGAAATTCAAATGAAAAATAAGTCTGTATCAAAAAGAAGAAAGACAAGTGTAAATGTGTGTGTGGGGAGAAAGGCATTTACCAAACACTTGTATGTTCTGAATAGTTTTTAGGTCGGATCCATTAAATGTTTTCCTTTTTAATTCTGCTGTATTTTCAGATCATGCTAATTCTTTGCTTATTTTGCTCATTTTGCATTTTTCATTCCTTCTCCTCCTTTCCCTTATGTTTTAATCCTACCCCATTTTTTCACATGACAGGAAAAAGCCAGATCACATCAGGTACCAACCAGCTTCTTTTATACCTTCCCAATGTTTCTTTGGCACGCAAAAAGCTCTTAATTAACCCTGCACTTAATTTTGATTACTTGCAATGGATGTATAAGTGGCTCAATCTAAGAAAATAACAGAAGGATTCTGCCTGGGATACAGTGTACCTGTTGTTCCACACCCTCAAAAGAATTAGAAAGATTGAGGTAGTGTTAGCTAAAAAGGAATTAAAGCAAAGTTTCTGCACTCAAACTTGTGAGCGTACAAAACCAGTGTTTTGACTTTCCAGTTAAGTTGGTGAGATTTGTCTTATCAACTGCATTGGAAAGAGAGATGTAACTTTTAAATGTTGTGCATTCTTAATCACCCTGTTTTATTTGCATGCTGATAGCAACTAGTGAAGAAAACAGTTTCCTTTCATCAATAAGCATGATTTTTATTTTTTAATGTAAAACTCAGTTTAAATTTTATATTTCTTTTTGGTAGTGCTTGCAGTTCTCAGAAATAAGAAATATTTTTCAATTTTTAAAAATGGTTTCCTATTTAACACATACTCTTGAATTGTGTAGGTATAAATGATAGAAAACAGTCCATTTGTTAGCCCAGACAGCTATATTTAAGCACTACTGACTGAGGCAGTGCAAAGTACTTTAAGATTCCCTAAGTATGTTTTCTCCTTCACCATACATTCTCTTCTATTTTTGAAGAATTCACATCTGTAGAAACTTTGGTAATGGTCAGTACTCACTGAACATCGGTTGCCTAAAGGTTTATAAACATTAATGCCTAAATTAATTTAGAAATTTACAAAGAGATGTGGTATACCCTATAACAGTGCCTTTGGTATGTATATTGTACTTGGGAAGCTCCTGGCTGTTAACTGCTGTAGACACCCTCCTTCAGCCTGTTTCCTGCAATAATGAGTAGAGTTTATGGATGGCTCTTAGTTAATATGAAGTAACTTGGAGTTCTTGGCCTGAATAAATCTGCGGCGGTACTGACATGTTGGAGGGAAGTCTGCCACTCTTCTTTTTTCAAGCAAGCAATAAAATAAAACTATTTTCCATCTACTTCAGAAGTGTGACCTGCAAGTTATACTATAGTCTAAATTGTTGATCTTGCTCATTAGAAGTTTTTTGGGAAAAAAAAAATCTTCACTCTGTGGCTGGACTTTGAAACAGATTTAATTTCTCTAACTAGGGAAAAAAGGAGCTGGAAAACTTTGAAAACTTTTAGAATAGACTTTAAAGATGACACGTTTGTTTTGCAATTTCTATGCTCCCTTATATCCAGTTGATCAGATTGGAGCTTATATACTTTAGTAACTCACTAAATATTAAGCTGTAGCGAAAAGGAAACATTCCATTAATTAAATTAATTATACCACCTAAAGCCATTATTAGGGATTTGCTCCATTGCATGTTATCTTGGGGCAAGACTGTGTTTATTTTATTTTATAACTTAGGCACTGCTTTTCAGGTTTTTCTAGTTGCTGTTATCTTCAAACAAAGCACATTAAAAACTTGAGTTTATTTTTCTAATTTTTTTTTTTAGTAACCTGTTTAAATACTAGTAATAACCTGCCTTATGCTTAGTTACTCCATTGGAAGTTGGTTTTTTTTAATAGATAGTTAAAGGTGATACCTTTTAAATAGCAATGACCAAAATTACTATTGCTAATAAATTGAAAAAGTACTTAACTTTTTGCATTATTCTATTCAATTACCTTAACAACAAAAAAAAGACTTATTATGTTGGAAATTAAAAGAAGATCCTGTTGTGCAGATAAATTTAAATTTTTCAAATCAACATTTGAAAAGATTGTTAAAAGGTAGAATCTCATCTGTCTACTAAATACTAACTTTCCTAATGAATACTAGATACTCTGATTTGTTTTTTCCTTTTTTGTATATCTTATTTTTTCTTAACAATCTTGATGTGCTTCTTTTCATGAATGTCTTGTGGTGGTTGAATAAACATGTGGATCTCTTTCGTTACTAACTGTAGTAATCTGTAGCTTGAAGTTCAACAGCCTGTGGAGAGCAACAAGACTGGTTGCAATATGATGATTTCTATACTGTTATCATTCAAACTAATTAGCAGTGCAGAAGAAAGTAATGTGTGGTTGAAGTGGGATATTGGAGATAACTGAGGAAGGATGCTGTGATAAGCACGGGTTCACATCATAAGCCTGAACAAAAAGTGTCCATTTTGCTGCAGGACTGAATTAATTTTTACATTCCCTTCATTTTTGTCATTTCAAAACCAGGGAACATTGGTTAGCTTTTATTTACACATCCCCAGAAGACCTACAAAGGGGTGGTCATATTTGCTTCTTTTTTTATATTCAGTGGACTGATAAAACACAGTTGTTAGAGATGTGAGGTGTTCATAATTTTCTTCAAAATAATGAGAGATTTTTACATTCTCTATGAGTTACGTCCAGTATGAACAGTGACTTGGACAAGGAAAGATGCCGTTCAGAGGAATTTTTAAGCAGTACATTATAGCTTGCATTTTATAGAATGCCATCATTAAATCTTTTATGTTATATTTCCCTAATGTTATATGTCCCTACAAAGCTGAAGCTTAAGTTAGGATCCTACTTTAAAGGTTTTCCTTGGTTTTGCTTTATTTTTGTATGTCATGTTTTTATTTCAGCATCTGAAATTTTAAGAAATGCCAAATACAGATAGACATTAAACGTTCATGGAATAGAAACACTGTAGTGCCTTAGCAAGTTATTTCTTTAGTTCTGCTCTCACAAAAAAAATCACGGGTGAGTAGTTTGCATAGTTTAAGTATTTTTGTTATTCAAATTATCTGAATTTGTGTTATCAAACAGTTGCTTAAAAATTGTAGCTCGCTGCTTAAAATAGAGAAGTAAATATTCTTTGAAATGAAAATGTGTTGTGTGATAGCTTAACTAATGTTGTCATAACATGGATGTGTTTAGGACTCAAATTATTTGAACCTTGCTTTCTTTTCTGTTGTCTCTGGTTTCCTCTTTTCTATTATCCTCACGGAATACTTGCCAAAACTGACTGCGACATCACTCTTGTGAATCCTTTTATGCAGTTTCTCTCTGTAGACTGTATGTTAGCACGCTTCAGTTGCACGAGCACTGTAAAATGAGTTATGTATTCTCTGGATGTCTCTTCATTTGCATAGGCGCTGGTTCTCAATACAAAATAACCAACTTGTGTACCAGAAGAAATTTAAGGTAGGTATCAAAAACTGACTTGGGATAGCTTGGGGCGTGGGTGATGGTTTTCCTGGTTCATCAGGGGAAGGAGAAATGGTGCTGACATTGGCATCCTGTGTGGTCTTCAAGAACCTACTGCATTTTCTCAATTAGTTTCACCCTTTGTAAAATGATGGTAACAGCTACACTTTGAGATGTTGAGGTTCCTGCACAGTGACTTTAAGCACATTCTTTATTTGCTCTAGGTTTTGTTACCTTGTTGCAGAGAAGTTTTATGAAAAGCCTTAAAAATAGTTAGTCCCAAAAGGCTTGTGGACACGTGCTGTCAGCAAAATATTCCATGCTGTTTTTCAGGCAGCTGTATTTAACTCTTCCAGGACTTGCTCTCTCCATTTCTTGGGTTCACATGCCCAGCTTAGCAGTTGGGGAGCAGGTGGGGGGCTGGGGAAAGCACAAGAGCATTTGTTGGGAAACAGTTAGGGATGCTGTGTACGTGCATTTAATACCGAAAATGTCGGGTTGCTCTGCAGTCGGTGTCAGTTGTACTGCTGGTGGGAAATTAGTTGTACATTCCAGCAGCAAGTGCAGCTCTGCTCCAAGCTGTGGAGGCCAGACTTTTCAGTCAGCTTTTGGGCCCCTGCTCCTTTGTTTACTGTTCTAGAATCCTTCTTTTAAACAACATAGCTGTAACTGTTCTTCATGTTGGAAAAAATAGAGAACTGCATGGAGACAGGGGGCAGGGGCAGGGAGCTTGTGCCAGTTCATTTATCTTCAGTGTTAACAGCAGGTCTGAAATTGTTGTATTGATTATTTAGTTGACTAGATTGTAGGCAACAAGGAATTCTCCAAGGTTTGTGCTAAATTTTCATTAAATATAACTAAACATTAAAAATCATCTAAATGTTTCCTGCTAGGTATCTCTGATTCCAACTATTTAATATTTTATTTTTCGGAGGAAAAATTTGTAACAAGTAAATAGAATAAAATGATAAATAATTTGGTATTATTAGAAGCTTTACTATCTTTCCTCTGTGACTTTGGTTAATTCTTGTCTCTTAGGATAATCCCACAGTAGTTGTTGAAGACTTACGGCTTTGTACAGTTAAACACTGTGAAGACATAGAAAGACGTTTCTGTTTTGAGGTGGTTTCTCCAACAAAGTAAGGAGAAGTGGTGGAGCATGTTTATTTAAAAATTAAAAAAAAAAAAAAATGTTACTGTTATCTTGAAATGCAAGATTAACATTTCTCTTGGGATAGATCAAAACAGGAAAAGCATCTGCACAGTTCTGCTCTCTGAAATTTTGACTAAGAGTAAGTGATGCTGTGAGAAGTGTCCCTAGTATTTAGTTTACTTTTGACATGAAAATACACATGCCTTCTTGTGTTTCATGCATAAATGGCTTGCGATTGTGAAGCTGTTGTGACTTAGTAGTAGCTGATACTATCAAGCTGCTTAATGTAGAAAAATAGATCTCGGTTTCTCCAGATTTTTGATTGGTGTAATGAGACAGAAGCATATTAATAAGTTATCTCAGTAGTGTTAAATTGTCTCTCAGAATGCACTAAACAAAGCTACCAAATACAAGTAATTTTTCAGCTCTAGTAGTGTAGTGTATTGGTTGTATTTGGAGTAGTATGGCAATCCTACCACAGCAAGGGCAGTGCATGGATTTCTCAGGAATGATTTTGAGATGTGACCATGTTTCAATTTTTGATATAAGATCAACTTTCTTTTAAGTTGGGAGGTTATCTACACTCCCCAATCCTACTTACATTTCTGCTCTTAATAGAAGGCTGTCCTAATGTCTGCATCCTCAGTTGTGGTTCACTTTAACATACATTTTGCTCCTGCTTGCCTATGCTTTTTCAACCTGTAAGTGTTGAAACAGTTTTATACTCTGTGACATGTTCTGTTTGACTGTTAGTGTGAAAAGCAGGTTTGGTTGTTGTAGTTTTGGGGTTTTTTTTGTCAGAGAGCTTCAGAATCATTTTCTTTTGATGTCAGTTATTTAAACTGTTTTCAGGGTCTGATACCTATATCTTGCCATGGAGATAGATTGCATGCGAGGATATAAAAATGAAACTTTTTTGATAAGAAGAGAAAGGGAATACGATGATAAGTAATTCCCTGGGTTATTTGAAGCCATAGCTGTATATTGTAGAATTAACTGCAAATAGTTTTGAAACAAGTAATTTGCAATTCATAGAGGGTCAACTGCTTTGTTATATCAAAATAAACAGATTTATTAGATGATACCTACTAAATAATATACTTAAGGTGACAGCAAGAAACTTCCTCAAGAGTCTGTTGTTTTTTTTTTAACAATGTGTTGCTTGATGTTAGCTGCTTGGTCAGTCTCTGAGTGTGAGTACACGTGTGATTTGTCACAGGAGCTGCATGCTTCAGGCTGACTCGGAAAAGCTGCGGCAGGCATGGATTAAGGCTGTTCAGACCAGTATTGCTACAGCATATAGAGAGAAAGGGGATGAATCTGAGGTGAGTATAAAAAGCAACCAAACAATTTCCCTTTAGATCCTAAAAAACTAAAAATAGAGAAAACCTCTTTGTGTGAGAAGGTAGGGGGGAAAAACCCAATCCATTGTTTGTCTTCCAGTGGAAATGCAATGGAATTTTGAAAGCTGTGATTTATATCTGATCTGTCTTTCACTTCATCTTACTAGTGTTACTTTGGCCTGGACACTTTGAGATTTTTCTGTGATGTGATTAAAATTCATAGGATACTCCTACATTCAGTTCTATAGTTCTTTTAGAACGCTAAACACTTCTTTCAGTTCTATGGCTTTCCTTAGCCTTAAATGCAGAAGTTACTTTTCTAGGATTCCAGTCCACAGTCAGTATCAGCAGAACTTTTTTATTTCTTCAACTTAATATGTGTCTTGTTTGTTCCTTTTATTTTCTAGAAACAGGAAAAGAAATCATCGCCTTCTACTGGAAGCCTAGAATCTGGGAGTGAGACAAAAGAGAAGTTGTTAAAAGGAGAGAGTGCTCTACAGCGAGTTCAGTGTATTGCTGGCAATGCTGCCTGCTGTGATTGTGGCTTGGCAGACCCTCGCTGGGCCAGTATCAACCTCGGAATCACCCTGTGCATTGAGTGCTCTGGGATACACAGGTTGGGCAGCTCTTCAGAACGGTATTTGATTTGTGCATCGGCTTAGCTAGGAAGGGGGTGGTGTTTGCCTCTTCAAATGTATATTGAAGCAAGATTAGAGACCCCTGTTTGTAAACAGAATTAAGGTATCTGCTTTATTTGCATAAATCAATGGTAAAACTATGTGAACTAAGACATAGCATGTAGTTACAGGTTAATCTTTTTTCGATGCTGTTTAGGAGCTTGGGAGTCCATTTTTCAAAAGTAAGATCTTTAACGCTGGATTCATGGGAACCTGAACTTCTAAAGGTATGATACTATTTTTGAAACAAGTTTCTATTTGGTACTTGGATTGTTGTTCTAAAGCCCCTGCATCAGCAAGTTCAACGCAAGAAACACTTGCATTTGTACCCAGTGCATATCTTGCACTTGTGAGTAGAAAATGTTCATAACTGAATCTTAGGCCTTCATTTTCATTCACTTTTTCTTACAATAAGCACAGTACCAGTAGTCATTCTTCTTACAAACTTGCAAATCAGAACTTATGTCATCTTCAGGTTCGCAAATGCACTTTGAGTAGTAAGTTTCATATGATACTTTAAACATATAAACCAGAAATCTGTTTACAGACCAATAATATATTGAACTGGAACATTTTGGAAATGCTGTATCACACTAAAACATGATCATTCCTGAGAATTCAAATAATCTGCTTTTAGAGTGAGATCCTGATTTCATACTCTTGCTAGCTTATAGGAGAACACTCACACAACTGCTCTTATGTGTTGTTGATGTGCCAAAATTCTAGTATGAAATGTGGTTATGAAAATCATGTGACATTGAAATACAGAGGTAGGAATTCACACATGGATGCATGTGTGCAAGTAACTGATGCAAAGCTTTTGTTCGTAGCTGTAATGTTCTGGTACTTGGCTATTGCTTCTCTATTCTGAAAAGTCAAAAGACAATGTGAGTAGGGGTGTTTCTTTAGTGGTTTGACCTTAAATCATTTTAATATCAGTGTGTTCACGTTGAGGAAGCAAACAAACAAATTTTAAAAAACAAAACAAAACAAAAACAAACAAACAAAACAAAACAACACCACCAAAACCTACACGCCTTGTCCTGTTCAGGTAAGTACCAGAGCTGAATATTCTACCTGGTGATAGAAGCAACAAGCCTGTTCATTGCCATCAGCAATTTGGGCTTCACATGCCAAATTCTCCTTAAAGTATGGAGAATTACTTCAAGTAGGACTTACTAGTACTTAAAAATACCTTTTTTTTTTTTTTTTTTTTTTTTTTTTTAGAAAAAGTTATCTGCAGGCTGTTTTTTCTCTTTGATCTCTTTCTATAGATGCAACAGATTATGCTTTAGCAAAACTGTGTGGTGGACAGGATGGAATAGAATTGCTTGGATTGTCTCTTGCCAATGGGATAAGAATAGCTACTAGCAAAGCTGGTGGAATAGAGAGTAGCTCTGTTTGTGAGGCCTGCAGATACCATTCTGATTGCACAAAAATGACTCTTGAATGACAGGTGGTCATTTTTGTAGCTCTTTTTCAGAGGGGAATGGCACTTTAAAAGAGTAATTATGTTTTCTGCTCTCTTACTCAGAGTATGGCCTTTATTCACTGATTGTTTCATGATGATATAAACCCATGTTTATTTCTATAAGTGTGCTTTTCCCAGTGAAAATACTAAGTTGTAAAAATAGGCTGACTGAGGTTAAAAACAACTAAATAGGTAGACAAAGCGTTTTGCAACTGTATTTGAATTTATTTATTTTGCTTCATAGCTTATGTGTGAATTGGGAAATGATGTTATAAATAGAATATATGAAGCGAAGTTGGAAAAAGTGGGAGTAAAGAAGCCACAACCTGGAAGCCAAAGGTAGTAATTTACTAGCAGTGCATCCTACTTCCTTTTGTTGCTTCCTTCAGCCTCCAGCTTTAAAAGATGCTGCCACTTAACTGTGTGACACTCCTTTGATTTACTGTTTCCCCTTATCACCAGTATGATTTGCTCTCTCCCTTTTCTTGCTTTTTGTCCTTTTTTGGGTATTCCTTCTGTTGGTTCCTTTCAGCTTCTCTTGTTCCTTTGTTCTTTTTCTGATCTCACACTCTCCTTTTGATGACAACTCTATAGCATCCTGTTCTACCTCATCAGGCTGATTTTTGTTTCCTGTCTTTGTACCATCTCAGCCAGCTGTACCTGTTCTGTGGGTGGTCCTGGAAGGGCCTGTGGCTGTGCCTTGTGTTTACAGTGACTTTATTCTTGAGTTTGACTTTTGTTCCCTGATCCCCAGAATAATATCTTTTTTTCTGCCTACATTGTACATGAGCTCTGCTGCTTTACAGTCTTCTAATGATTGTACTACTGTCTTCCATTTCTCTGATGCTAATCTGTGTTTGAAGGTCATTTCTTAATGCTTTGTTGTATATTATATTTTTTTAAAACTTCGTTTTTTTACCAGCTTTCCAGTTCTGTGCTGCTGGCTGTTAGGCAGTTTTGTAGTATAGAAAACAGCATTTTATAAAGTGTTGGCCATTTGGAGACAATGTTAACAATATAACATAGGAGATTTGCTAGATATTCCCTCTGGTGGTAACTGGTTTTCAGCAGTTCCAATAGTAATACTTCTGTAGGCCCTTTCAGCAGTTTGGCACAACTGGTGTGTGTGTGTGTCTTAAGATGATAACCTTGGGTTACAAGAAGAAATATTTAGTATGCATTAGGAAACTGGTGGCTGTGCCTATCTGAGACTCTTTATTGTGCTGTGGTGCAATCTTCATCTGCCTTTAACAAATGTTGTGATTTGTATTTACCTAAGAAACTAAATATATGCTATGTTAATTGGTTATTAACAATGTAAAACATGTATAAAGGATTAATACCAAGAAGCAACATACAGTAATGCTTATTTCTTCCACATACCACTTTCTAAAGTCTCTGCCTGAAAGAAAATAAACATATCTGAAACTAACGATTTTTTTTTTTTTTTGAGCCTTATGCAAAATTTAGTTAAGAATCCAGAAAGAGTTAGACAGTGTGCTTTTCATCTTTCTGAAAATGTGCTGCAAGTGTCTTATGTGCAACACCAAACTACAGTCTTGGTTACTGGCTTTAGTATGAAATAGATGTTCTTTTAATACATGAAAATACTAAAATATTAGCTTACTAACTCCAGGGATCTTATATATGACAGGCAGGAGAAGGAGGCATACATCAGAGCGAAATATGTGGAAAGAAAATTTGTAGAGAAGCAGCCTATGTCAGTATCACTGCCTGAATCTGGAACCAAAGTTTTGCCTCAAAGTCAGGAAGAGAAAAGGCACAGTGGCCCTGAAAAATCCCTGTTGGCAGGGGAACAAGGTGCGGCATCCCCAAAAGGTATTTACATACTTCTCTCCTTAGCTACATTGCACACGTTCTTTTTAAAGTAACCTATTTCTGTATTAATTGATTTCCTGACTCATGCAGAGAAATTGCAATCTGTCTTTAAAATGGGTCACAGTCTAGTGCAGAAGTATAGGGGAGAAAAGACTTGTTCAGAGATGTGTGTTTTTAGAGGGGGAATAATTTGGAGTGGGGGTGCTCATTGTTCAGAAACATTAACCACCTTCTTTCCTCCGTATTTTCACCCTTCTTAATTTTTCCAATAACGTTGTTTCCTGCCCTGTCCCTTCCTTACTGCCTGCTTTGTGCTTTGCTAACCTGCATGTCCCAGCGGCTGCTCTAAGTAGCGACGAGGCGAGGCGGGAGTCTCTGTTCTGTCCTGATGAACTAGATTCACTCTTCTCCTACTTTGATACCTCTTCAAAACTACGTAGTAGTAAGTACTACAGCTGTGGCGTGTTCAGTATTTGCACTAGTGATCCATTGTGTGTTGTGGCCACTTCCCTGCCTTTAATCTGTTGTCTCCAAGCTACTGCATTGCTTAGTGTTTTCATGAAATAATTTAAGCTTTTTTACTTATCCTGATCCTTTCTAGTAATCTTTGACTTTTATTACTCTAATAAATGTTACAGTTGCAATATGTGACTTTGTATTTTTCTATGGATGCATTCAAACTACTAGTCATTTAGAAAACCCAAATGTATTCAGGACCAAGTATAAGAGCTTGCTTTATTATCATGGTATCCGTGAAGAGTAGGTGACTTATGGTCTGCATAGTAATTACGGTTTCTCCCCACAACAGTACGAAGCAGTGACAGTGGGATCCAGCAGAGTGCTGATGACAGCAGAGAACTCCTTGCCTCTACTGTGTCAGTTAACAGTTTGTATGAACCAGGTGCGTTAGGCTTTGTGCTTCAGGGTGAAAACTTAATCACTTCTTGGTAGCGTGCTCTTGTAAAAGAGATTAGTAACTGATGACAAAAGTCTCTCCTATCTTGGTGGCCTGAAACATTTTTAACAGGAGTAATAATTGCTTGAGTGACCTTTCTTCCCTCCAGGCTGGGTAGCAAGTATGACATTGAACTCACTTAGAAGGATTCAGAGGGCTGCATTCTTTCTAGTCAGTTGATACTGAGCCCAGACTTTGGTTTTTTGCAGGTAGACCAGTGCTGCATTTTGATACAGACAAGTCTCCACAGAAATGCATGATGCTTTTGGAAATGGTTACAGCCTTGGAGATAGAATTCCTGTTAAGTCACAGATAATAGGCTTTTATGTATTATTTGAACTTCCTTGCTTAATTCCTCTGTTTCTTACTAATTGACCCTGTCTTTAAACGTTGTCCTTCATTTTACACAAAGTTTCATAAATTTATTGATGAAATTACATACTATCCAATGTTAGCATCCTGGTCTGACAGAGGTATTCTGTATGGCTTTTCAAAATACCCAAAACATGTATTTATAAAGCAAACTTATTCCTTTGCATCAAACCGCTCCTCTGAGGTACATTTTAAAACCGGTATTTCACAGCTGTGGTTTGTAGGCAAGCAGCATGTGGCTTGGATCCTTCTTTGACTGTGTTGTAGAACACGTCTGATGCTGTAACAAATGAAACCTTATCCATAACATCTTTGTCTCCAAGCTTCATTCTGTATAACTCTTAGGATATGAAAAGGAAGATTATGCTGTAGGCAAAGATTATAGTTACAACAAGTGATTGGTAAATGACAGTGTTATCTTTCAACAAAAGTTAAGTCAAAACAGTATTAGCCTCAGATTCAGGTGTATCAAGCTGTTGCAGAGAAATATATCTATTTTTATGACTACATCTCTGCAGGAATTCACTTTTATTCATATCTTATAGTATAGCATAAAACACACTTCTAACCTGAGCTCATTTCCTAGAAATGACATGTGAATATCCTCTAAATATATTCCATGTCCCAGTAGTGTAGAGAATGTTTTCTAGGCAGCAATAATTCTATGAAGTGTCCGTGTTTGAATACTGGAGCAAGCTAAAGGCATCTGTGACTTCTGCTGGCAGAATGGGGCAACAATGCTCAGCATTTGCAAACCCTGAGCTACCTCATGCCAGAGAAATTACATCTTTGGTCAGAATTCCAGGAGGTACCTTGTGAAAACAGGGATTATATAAGATAATTTTTTTCTTTTTCAGAAGGAGACAAGAACGAATCTTCTGCGTTCTGTGACTCCAAACAGCCTAGTCCAGGGTTTCAGCTGTATCGAGCTGCCTTTGAGAAGAATCTTCCTGATATGGCAGAAGCATTGGCCCATGGAGCTGAAGTAAACTGGGTCAACGTGGAAGAAAACAAAACAACCCCACTCATTCAGGCAGTGCGAGGGGTATGTGGTACACAGCGCTGGCCTTGCAGGAGGAGGGGAAGGGGAATAATAGGGAGATTTCTGTGTCACTGTTCCTTTTAAACTGCTTATTTCACTAATGAATGATAATGTGATGCTGAAGTAGTCTTTACAATGTTCTCTCAAAGTTGTTTTCTGAACTATTTTTTCTTGTTAATGCTTTATTTGGAATTATATAACCTTGTAGTGTCTAAATCTGATATGGAAGCAAATCCCTTTTGTTTCCTTTGCCACGTGACTCAGTGGTGAGAAGGCAGAACAGGTTTGGCTCTTCTTCTAGAGGTATGGCGCTGAATTGTTTCTTTGCTTTTATTCCATAGGGTTCCTTGGTTACTTGTGAATTTTTGCTGCAGAATGGGGCCAACGTGAACATCAAGGACATGAAAGGAAGAGGACCCCTGCACCATGCCACAGTTCTAGGGCACACTGGGTAATTCGCTGCTTCAGAATTTCCATCCTCTACTATAGCTGTTACTGGGAAGCTTCATTTCCCCAAATATTCTGGAATTTTAATATATATCAGGTGATCTAGGTTTTTCTTAGACTTCTGTGGTGAGAAGAAATAACATTTTGAATTAGCAGACTCATCTGCTAGCAAAACATACTCCTATAAACACACTTTGGTCTATTTTCTAAAAAGGTGTATTTAATAATGCTTTGAAACAGCGTGAACTTTTGGTGAAGACTTGTGAGATTTTTCTTATTTTCTTAGAAGTATAATACAAAAAAAAGAAACAGTGATGCGTGAAAGCCAAGACTTTTTCTGAATTATCCTATCTGTGTTGCACTGAGAGTCTACCTCATTTCAAAATGTACTACATCACATCTTGAGTTTTGGAGTCACGGCTTCTACCTGAAACCCACTACCAGCTCAGTTCAAATGAGCACATAATAATCTGGCTGGTGGTGTCCAACCTCTTCCACACATGTGTTCTAAATAGAGTGTGACAACTTGGGAGAGTTGAAGACATAAGCTTAGTATACCCTGTTTATAAATATGAAGAATTATAATAGCAGAGAAAAATGAGATCCGTTTCTGTTGGGTAAATCAGACACCTATGAACTGTATTCTTTCCTGTATTGATTTATCCTGGTCAGTGATTCTTGTCTGTCATGGTAAAAGCAATGCGGGTTTTTGTGCTATGACCTAAGATGATACAGTAAGGTAGAGTCTCACTTCTAAAGGGCTCAACTCCTCGCTGCACTAGTGTGGTTTGAGTCAGGCTATCTTTCTAATATGGATTAAATAAAGATTTTGCTTACTGCTGTGTTAACATATTAATTTTAGATGAATAGCACTGTTTTGATATGTTCAAGAGACTTTTGACAGTTTAAACAAAATGTGTTGCAACCAACTTGAAATTGTTTGCTTTTTTTCCTTTAGTGTTGTGAAAATTATTCTTAAATGCTTTTTCTAAACAGACAAGTGTGTTTATTCCTAAAACGAGGAGCAAACCAGCATGCCACTGATGAAGATGGAAAAGATCCATTGAGTATAGCAGTAGAAGCTGCAAATGCAGATATTGTAACATTGTAAGTTGTATGCTCTGTTTATTGCTGGGTAGCTAAGGTTTCTTTTTCTATTCCAAGTTAAAAATATAAGGAATGTCAAAATTCCTTTACATAAAAACAGGGAGAACAGAAGAAAAATCAAGGACAGTGTGCTATCCATAGATGACCTCACTGGTGTGAGGTTCAGGAGTGCATTGTAGGTCTTGAATTACACGGGGGTTTTTAGTGCTTTAAAGGTGACATTGTTCTTTCTGTTCCCTAAATGATAGGTTGCGTTTGGCAAGGATGAACGAAGAAATGCGTGAATCAGAAGGACTCTATGGACAGCCAGGTCAATACTCTACTAATAACCATACTGAAATGCAGTATAAGAAGTGTATTCAGGAATTTATCAGTTTACAATTAGATTCTTAAGACTGGAGGGAAATTAAACATCGCTTCGTACAACAGTATTTTCTTATAAACAACCAACACATCTTAAAGCTTCCTTTAAATTTACTGGTGTGACTTGTCAGAGTATTTTGGGGACCTAAAAGGAGAGTGTTCAAAGCGTATTATGATAGCAGCATATGTTACTACAGCTGTTACCAACCTGTTTTGCTGGTAGTTGTCCGCAGTTTTCTCCTATTGATGTTCTGTTGAAATTCACATAATGTTAGGATTTACCTGCTGTGATTTACTAGCAACCTTTTCACCCAGGTTGCTCAGAGACAGTTGAGAAGTTCATCTTATTACAGGATACCATCTGCCTTCCCGTGCAATAGTCTTCTGCCTTTTTAAGAAAAGATGATTGCACACCAATGTAAAAATGTACATCAAAGATTTCAAAATAACTCCAGAGAGAAATAAGAATGTGTTGTTTCCTCAAATTTTCTTTTAAAATATTTTTATTTGTTAAGATATGAATAAGAAACAAAGCAGTCATTCTTAAGTATGTATTTTTGTATGCATAGTATCATAATACTTGATTTTAAAAAAAAAAAAGATTGGCAGACATTTAAGTCAACTGGTACAAGAAAGTAACAAATTATATGTAATGAATATGTGCAACATTATTCTCAGGCACTCAGTCCCACTTTACACTATGTTCTGATGTGATATTTATGCAAGCCATTTCTTCTGTTATGGTATGCTTCCATAGGAGACTAAATTAATCTCATGCAAATGTCAATAATGAAGCCACAGTTGATTGTCAAGTTAGACAGCTAAAAACATGCTGCTGTGCTTGGCAGTGGTGGAAGGCAAACCTTATTTTTAAGGCTGAGTGCTCTTGGCTCACTCCTGTAAAGCCCTTATCTATTTTCCAGTGATTCATGAGTATTGTGTGCTTATGTCTTTTACCAGATTGGGGCTGGAATATACTCAAGGGACAGCATGAAGACTCATGTCAATATCCCAGATGAAGTCTCTTAAATAAACCAAATGTATTTAGTTTCTCCTTAAGAATAGACATTTTTAAAATTTATTTCTAAGCAAATCTTTTAGGAAATTAAAATGAAAACAATAGAAGTCCTATAGACACTCAAATATTCAAATACATTCTTTGGCAGAGTAACAGATAATTTGAAAGTATAGACCTGATCATGAGCTTAGATGAGGAAGAGTTCCCCACTCAGAAAATGCAGCAAGCTCTGTGTATGAAAAATGTCTCTTGCCAGTTTGAATGTAAAGAGGTAAAGCTGTTGTCTGATATAATGTATACTATTACACTGGCAGGCTGAAGGTAACAAATATTGAAGTATTTTTAAGTTGTCTCATTTTAAGAAACAAACTTAGTATCAGTTTCAGAGAGTAAAATGCCTTTAAGGGAGGTAGGTATTTTGATTGAAAAGCTCTGTGCTAAATCATAAATTAATATTTCAGATCATTTAGTTGACATGTCACTAGTCCAAAATTATTATAAATCAGAAAATGTTTCTATAGTTTGTGCAAAAAGCCTCAGCTGGTTGCTAAACATTACGAGTGTTTAGTAAAGTGCTTCCTTCATAACTAATACAGGCATTACTTACATGAAAATATGAATGTATTCAAACTGGAGATGGAGGAGAGTATTTTCCCTGACACTTTGTTTTAAGTATTTTTAGACAGATTCTTCAGTTAGGTAGATGAAATAAAAAGCTGGAGAAGACTTACATTGAAAATATGTTGGCCTTTTTATCAGTTTATATTACAGTAGAATCTAGAGACTGCTGCTGATACAATCTGATCCAGATATTTTACAGATAGCTTCTGATCCTTGTAAACGGGTGGGATTGACAAGGGGTAGTAGAGCAGCCATGAAAATAGAGCTTGCCCAAAATCAGAGGGAGAGTACTATTAGAATAATTTTTGAAATTCAGGCCACAAGCTCTATGTAGCACAGTGTCCCAGCCAGGAGACAGATGTTGCTGTAGCTTTGAATAGCATAGCTTTGGTCTCTTTGATTCTTTACTTGCTGAAGTCTCTTTTAAAAGTTGAAGTAAATATTTGAGTGTTCTAAATGTTAATGTCTGCTAGCCTGCTAGAAGGGTTGTGTAACTCTGTTAAGTGTAAGCACAAAACCTGTCTCTGCTGTTACAAGGTGTGATACCATTACGTGGTGGTGGAGGAGGCAGGTCTTTTTCCCTCCATATACACATTAAGTTATCTGCACTGCCCCTAGTTTAGAAATCTTCTTTTCCAAAATTATTACCCTAGAAGAAAATATGGATTTTCAAGACAGTTGTATGTTTGCTGGGAGCTATGTGAGGTTAAACACCAATGTGAGAGTTTTCTGTCATCACAGTGAGGCCAACTGCCTAGTTCTCTGCTTTAGTAATGCAGTTGATAAACAATTACTAATGTAGCTAATGGCATCAACATATATAATCTGAATATACCTGCCTAGTTTGAGCTACTGAAAGAATGTGTATATTGCTTTGCAAAGTACAGTTGGTCTTCCAAAATATTTCTAGAATGAGAACGAGGTGAAACTACCTTGTTCCACAAAAAGTTCATTTCTAGTGGTAGAAGCCATATGCACCATTGTACTGTTTCTTGTCTGATACTTGAGTGCTCACCTTCTGGTGCTACTGTATGTCTGTTAACTATTTGATATCAGTATTGCTACTTTCTCTTCCTATCTTTTCTTGAATGTATGATGTGTGCCTTTTGAGTTACTCTGGTGTTAAATGGTAAAGCAGTGTATAAAGTAATATTTTTGTACATAAAAATCTGCACCTTAGGGAAAAACATTGCTTGGAAAGGGAATTTCCAGAATTCAGTTTTAAAGTAGAACTTAAAAATAATTATAAGGTTTACAGTATTAAATATTTTAATGCAGCACACAAACTAAAGGGGCACTTTATTTCAGCCTATTTTTATATGTAGTATTTTTGTTATGTAATAGAGCCAAAAAAGAGCTACAATGTATCTTTCAAAAAATAGCTTTTGTGTTTTCTTTCAAGTTAATTTGAAAAAACCAAATATGGCACCTGGAACCACAGTATTAGTTCAGCAGTGGGACCCACTTCTGTACTATAAGCATTATTGCTTTCATCATAAAAGCTTGATTCAGATTTGTGCTCTTCAGCTGTTCTTTGGGTGAATGTTACAGCTCCCTTCACTCGGTGCTTATCTTCCACTGCAACCAGTTATCAGAAACTGTTACAACAGAGTGGGTCTGTGCCTGCTTCACCTCCAGAGCATACTTGAAACCAAATCTGAAACCAAAAGGGAATTCCATTAGAGCTGACTTTTCCTAGCAGAGCAGTATTAAATGTATTTCTCTTTTAAAATCTGGGAAGAATTGTCACTACTTGTTTTATATAAACTCACATGCCATGCATGTTAAATATTTCTGGAAGGTCAGTTATCATTCCTAAAAGTGTTTTCAAATGAGTGGAGTCTTATCTCCAAAAGAATAGTAGTTCTAATATTGGAAATGTGTATTAAAAGAAGGGAAAACCAAAACAGTATAGCTTTTCACTGTAGTGCAAACTTGTAAATGCAAAGCAGCCTTTTTAAAACTGCCCTTTGGAAAAAAAAAAAAGTGGTGGAGTGATACTTCCATGATCATATTGGTAAAAAAAACCTTCCTGTTCAGTATACATGATGAGAGATTTGAGGTTGCTTTCTATGTGATGGTATTAACCTGTCAGCAAGATGCAGTAATGCTGGGATCTTGTGTCCTGTGTTGTCATCTGCATTAGGAAGCCAGTAGAATTTGGATGGCTGCACAGTTCCTGCCCAGACCAAGTGTTTTATGTATTTAATTCCCTTTGAAGGCAATAGGGTATGATTAGTGTTTTAAAATTAAACCTGAACTCAAGGCCCAAAATGCTGCAGCACATGAAGGAATGTTAAAATGTCCATTTTACAGTGGCAAAAGAACGACTTGGCAATGGCTCAAGTAGCAATCATTCCTCAATGTGTGTTCCTGTGTAGACGGGAGGAGGGAGACAGGCCTGGTGGAAATTGCTGCCATCCCTCATTTTGCAATGTGTTAGGAATTGGGTTGTGTTTAAGCACAAAGGGTGAAGATAAAAGAAAGATGTTTAAAGGAAGTACCATCACTCTTATAGATAAAAGTAAAAAATTTAATGAATGTTCAATAATGCATGTAAAAATTTATTGCTGAAGTAATAGACCAAAAGCTTTTATGAACAATAATTTCTCTACTTAAGATTGCTTTTTTTTTTTTTTGGTATTATTGCTTGCTGATTCTTTCTTTCGTGGAGATTTCTGTCTGGCTATAAGACTTCTGACCTCTGTTTCCAAGTAATATTTATGCCATAATTCTACTTTCCTGAAGAGAATCTTGATTATCACTTCCTTGCAAAACCAAGGATTTTATTCGTTAGTAACTAATAAACTTTTCTTTTTATGTTGCTTTAAAATGCTTTCATTTTTCCTTTCTAACTCTGAACTTTCCTCTGTGTGGCTGCCTGTGAGGTACTATTTCAGGTATAGTTTGGCTTTAATTTGCTTCTACAGAACATGCATGCGAATAAACAGTCCCAAAGAGTTTACATCAGCATCATTCCATCTATAAGCAATCTATGTATGTGAATGTGTTATACAGTAATTGGTAGCACAGTAGGGCATTTGTGCAGTGGTGGGTGATGTTAACTGTCACAGATACTTAAAAATGTTTCCCTTTTATTTTCTATCTAGGAGATGAAATTTATCAGGACATTTTTCGTGACTTTTCTCAAATGGCATCAAATAATCCAGAGAAGCTAAACCGCTTCCAGCAGTCAGATTCCCAGAAGTCTTAAGCCTCAAGATGGAAAACGACCTGATCCTTGTAGTGCAAGTCTTTTTTTTTACTGTATTGGAATGAATTATATGAACTATATTTTGTTAGTTGGATAAAATGACCACTCTAATGTAGCTTTAGGTTGTGGTAGCTGGGGAAATGCATGAGTTGTTTTATGTTCTACAGGATGTATACCTCAGCAGCTGAAGAAAATGATTAAAAAAAGGAATACCTGCTAGCTCAGTATCAAAGTAGTACCTACTAGGAAGTGCAAAGATGTCTTTGGCTTGTACATAGACTGTAGCTGTAGGTGCTGCAGACTCCAGACAGCAGGATGATCCAGACCAGCTTTGCTATTTAGTATTGCCTGATGTCATCTGTCTCCCTCCTGCCATAAAGAATGTGCCTCTGACAGGAAGGTCTGGGTTGCATTTTCTGGGACTGTTCGGAAGAGGAAGCAGACAATGGCTTACTGAGTTGTCCTTCTGTTTGTGGGCCTACAGCTTAAGGGTTTTTCTTGTTCCTACAGTGACTCAGGTTAGAGGTAGGCTGTTAAAAACAAGACATGGTAACTCCTGTTCTTTTGCAAGCTCTTTCACACTGGAAGCTTTGACACCAGCCTGGCCTTTATGCTAGTGACTGCTGGTCAGTCACAATAGGTATAGATCCTGGAGGACCAAATTTCTAAGAGCAGTCTATTTTTCCTTTTTTTCCTCTTAAATTAAACTATGTGCAGCAAGTATACTTCTAAATAAGCATGTGGAACTTTTCATGGAAAAGAAACTTAATCCCTCTGGACATGATGGAGGGGGTTTGTAGTATTTTGACACCAAAACTTGAAATTTGAGATGCGGAAGTAAATACTGAGCCCGTGGAGTTTGTGTAGAACAGTCATGTGAAGGCTGTTTGCTACCTTTACTTTTTGCTCTTCTTGCTACTAGCCCTAAGCTGAATACATGAAAACTCACATGTAGTGCAGCCACCCTAAATTTAGGGCAGTCAATCCTTCATAGCAGGAAGCAGTGTCTTTTATATAATCCTCAAAGCTGTGTATGTATATGTGTTGTCTGAAATGAGGTGTGTGCAAGAAAGCCCAGGAATTTCGCTGCCTGTTTTAGCAAAGTAGCAGTTGAGTGTGTTCTCCAGCTGTATCCTGAGGGCAGCAACACAGCTCAGGAGTGAGCTCCACTCTCCTGATGTGCACGCCTAAAGGGTGTCTGTGGAGAAGCCTACCTGGCAGGTTATTTAATACCTGTCATCACCTGAAGCCCCAAAACAGCAGATGCAATTCTTTCTTCTGTTTCTCTGCCCAATGGACAACTTCAGGAGACTCTTTAGGTAACATAGTATCAATGTGAGTTTTTAATAATTGTAATAGCTGTGGTATTATGTTAACCTGCTATTTAAATGTATGTAGGAAATGAATTGGCTTTTCTCCAAGCTGGCTGAAATAAGCAAAATTGGGTAAAAAATTCTGTAAGCTATGGTAAAATTAAACTTTTTGGCATGTTAAATTTTAACAATGTATTTCAAATATTTATAATTTTGCATCAAATGTATCATAGTGAATCGAACGTGGAGGATTAGTGATACAAAGTTTCTAGCATTTCAGAATTGTCAAATAGATTCTTTTTCCAAGCAGAGGAATCTTACGAAACTTCTTGCTTTGTGTGTGGTCTAATTATGCCAGGAAGAACAGATTCTGCCCATTTCAGGAGTCCATTTAGTTTGAATAGTAAGAAATCTAGGAATATTACCTGTAGGCAGAAATTTCTAGTGAACTGTTTTTTAAATAGCTGTTTATGAACTGATAATATACTTCTTTATCTGCAGTATTTAACAGCACTGGATGTTTTAGTAGATCTTAGAGAAAGTAAAGCTCCCAGTGTACAGATGGAACAATGTAAAATATGGGTGTGTATAGTATACACTTTAGACACAGAAGATTTTAAAGATTTGTCTTCTGCAGCCTACATGGCAGGCAGTATATAGTGTGATTGGCTGTAATGTAAGGCTACTTAAAGCTTAATGACATAATCATTGTCTCAATCCATACTGCTGGAAGAATGTCCAGGACACCAATTTCCATATCTCCACTGATATTTTCCTTGCCACAAAAATATGACACATTTTGCAGGACAGCTTCCTGTAGACAGGCTTGTTCCCTGTAGCTCTGCAGATCCATGTGCTGCCTCTCATTTGTCTCAGAAGCAGTGTCGGTCTCTTTGTGCTGGAAGACTAATAACGTACCTGCTGCCACGGGTGGTGTCCTTGTCTGGAGCACTGGAGTCCCACTGGTTCAGGGAGTGGATACGTCACTTCTGATCCTGCAGCCTTGTTCTCCAGTCCTTTTAGGTACAGTAGGACATACAGTATAAACTGCGTTCAGCTAAAGCTTTTTTCAGGCTAAGTGCAGTACGTGTGCTAATGTGTTGCTCATCAGCAAAAATAAATATGCCATTAAATTACATGAAATACACTGAGGCCTTGTCCTACTAGCCACTGGCAGGCTCAGTGCTCCAGAGCCCCAGCAAAGTACGATTATTGCCAGGGCTCTGAGGATCTGGAATCCATCCTGAGTTCTGACTCGAGTGCTAATCTTCTGCTCAGTAATACTGGGAAACTTCCATTTTTATTGCAATATGACTGTAAGTATACCTAGAGAATGGTAGACAGCAAGGCTTTCATCTGGCACTCCACACCAGATAATGGGAAGCTTCAGTTCCAGTTTGTGTTTCTCTGTAGCTGTGAAATCTAGTAGGCCTTAACTGGTGAGGTATAAAGCAGAAGATTCCTAGAACAGTTTAAAATTGTTTTTTTCGTACTTTACTAGATAGCCCACTGAAAGATTTTTATAATATTTTTAAATATTTTTTGTAGATCATGTATTCCAAAAGTCACTTGGAAAGACAAATGCCAAGGAGCTCAACATATACTCTAATGCATCTTCACTTCAGAAGTGTAGTTTACTTACATTGCAGACTGAGTAAAGTGGTGTCTGTGGTGTCTCCTTAGTGGTCTGCATTGTTTTGATGGGTCATAGGATTTCATATTTTATGTTAATGTCAGTACAGTGCATATAAACTTAAACTTCTGAATTATCTTACTGAATTATGCCCCTGAATGATATTAGACATGCTGGAACTTGTTCCCATAAATTTTGGTGAAGGTGGTAGATGGTAAAAGTCTTTGTGTTTTCACAAGCTGCACATATTGCAGCCCAAACACGTTTCAGTTGTTCTTTAGTACGTTGTGGACTTCAGCTTTCTTACCAGTTAGGAACTAATCCAAGAGGTCACTGAAATGGGTGGCAGTCTTTCCACTATTTCAGAAGCTTTGGAGGGCACCTTTTGTGGTTTATCATGTTAGTGGTTAAGGGATCCTGCATTTTTCACTCTGTGGGGTTTTGTGTTTTGCCTGTAACAATTTTTAAAACCTGAAACAGTTTTAGAAAATGCAACCAGACCTTCCAACTGCTGTCAGTAAATCCCCAAACAGGTTTCTCCCGTTTTGCTGTATGACATCAGTACACACTTTGTCCAAATTATTTGAGTTCACCTCGATAGAGCAAAATCTTTGTAGCACTAAAGAAAAATGGTGAGAACTAGAATAAGCATAGGGGTTGGCTGTGATGTCTCCAGGACTTCGGTGCTTCTCTGCAGCCATCTGTTCTAAAGTGTGAATGTTAATGCTGCTTCTTAATCATGAGAATCTCCAGTGACACAGTGACCACAAAAGGGAGTGTTTGATAGAATTAGAAATCGTGTGTAAGTACTATGGATGTGGTATTTTTACACTGTCAAAAAGGACTGAGCTGACAATTCTGGTTATTTAACACACTGAAAGTATTTTGAGAGTCAGTTTTGCAAGCTACCGTCTCTGCCAGTTCACAGGTGGACACTTTTCCTAAGCTAGATTATTGCAGGCGTTCTTGCTGCCTGACAGCCACAGCACCCGGCTCTCCTGCTTGCACAAACCACGTTTCTAAAACAGGGACAACTCCAGAAAAGACAATACTGGGGAAAAGGATGAATGTACCACTTTGGTATATCCCCTCTCATATCTTACTTTCTCTTTCTGTATATTCTTGTTTCTCTTCCCATGGAAGGAGATGATAAAGGAGGAAAAGAAACTCATTTTTCTGTTAGGATCCTGGATTTTTCATGTTTTGATAAACCGCTGAGACATTGTTTCCTCAAGCCAAGCTGTTACTCTGTATGAACTGATTTTTTTTCTCCGCGTGTCCCTCTGTACTTGATGTTTTTTTAAGCATTCCGGCAGTACGCTTGTGTTCTCCTTAAGGTGTAACTGTAAAGAACGTGTAACCAGCCCTAGGACGCGTTTAACGAGCCTGGAGCCTGTAGACTTTGTATCTAAAACTCGGCTGTAGTTTTCTGTAGCGTGTCACTGTAAATCGTTATTCCCTTTGTAGCCACCGGGCTGTACATGCTGTAAGGACTGTAAATACCGGACCGGATTAAACCTTTGTATGCTCAGCGGCCTGGCTGCCTCGGGGGCGGGACAGGGGCGGGGCTGGGGCTCAGGGGCGCGCCCCGGGAGGGGCGGGACA